ATTAATCTCTTTTAATACATAATTTTAATGTAGATTACTCATTTAATTAATACTTATTCTAAAATATATAAAGTTTATATTTACAAACTTCATCCATTTAATAGCGTTTTCCACTGGAAGAGCTAGTGCAACACAAAAGTGCAATTGTATTGTTCCACTATTAAAACCAGTTCAGATATTTTCTATGACTACTTTATATGGCTCGATTTATGCTGAAGTTATAATATCGATAATCGATATTACGAAATCAATTACATAACGTTTTTTACTCGAGCGTGTTTACACCAATTTGAGTTGAATAATTTTCTACTACTGATTGATGTTATATGTTCTACCAAAGGTTCTAGGAAAGCAACATCATCAATCCAACATCATTAATCTAACCCAGATTGGTGCAAAGCCCATTCGCGCCAGATACGCCAACAGTCATTCCATTCTTCAGAAGAATAGCTATGATTGGTCAGTTTCATAACATTAATGTTATAACTTCAGCATAAATTAAGTGTAAACGCAGTCAGTGTTTAATGTTTCATTGACAAAACTAATGCAAAAAAAAATTGTACTGAGATAAACTTTTTCTCTATCATCTTTAAAAACAGTAGAGACCAGTGCAAGTTGAAATTGACTGTAATTGAGGCTGTGTTTAAGATGTGATATTACGTTAAAGTAAAATATAATACAATATTATATTATTCTAATTAATTTTATAATATTGTTTTTAGTTCCAGTATATGTAGTAATATCTATGCAATAACATAAACATTTTGAGTTAGAAATTTTTAAAATTCAAGAAAAATTAATAAAATTTTTTATAAAAAATAAATAAATCAGATATTATTATAAAATAAGTTATTCAGTGATGTGTTCCACTAAATCATACTAAACCTGCAATATTACTATATGAGCACAGATTTTCAAAATCTAGCACAGTACTGGTGCTGCATTAGTTTTCTGAGTGGAAAACGCTATAAGAGACTTCATTAAACATGTCAATTTGTTGATACAAAAGGAGTGCTACTTCTCAGTCTCACCTCAGTGGTGGCGTATTACTAGCAATGATGACCAATTTGGCTTTGCCTTGACGAAGGGACTTCAGAGTCTGCTTATAACCAAGGACATATTTACCAGATTTCATGACGAGAGCTAATCTGGTATTGATGCTCTCCTGGGCCTTTTTCTATATAATTCAGTAATAAAATTTCATTAAATATGTTTAACGTTACAAAAGTAACAAGAAATTACAAATTATTGATTAAAATATATTTACATTATCTGGAAAGGGTAATTATTTAGAATACCGATATAATAATGTTTCAGATCATCTCTCCCTTCCGTCGCTCATGAGATTACAACTTTTTGCACATAGCAAGAGCAGAGCAGGTTTTCGTTTTTAGTTAAACGCTCGAATGAGTCTAATTTCATTAAAATCAGAGGCAGGTTAATTAAGCTAAAGTCTGCGACAGATTTCCTAACCTTAATAGTCGTCAACTTCAACGTTTAATATCTCGGCTCGCGAAGCTGACCGCCACGTTTTTCTGTCGGATTCTTTCATTTTGATTGAAAACACGTCGAACGAACCTAATTTCATTAAAATCGAAGGGGAGATAGCTATTCTAAACAATTATCAGTGCTAAACTTTTTTATCTTCAATATTAAAATAAAAATAAGTTTAGAAAAAACAATGTAAATGCTGAAATAGCCAATTTATACCAGATTGCTGTGTTTTGCATGGGATTTGTCTCAATTTTTCATTTAACTTCGAAACAATCACAAATATGATTTGCACAAGTTATAATAATTGTAATAGTAATATTAATATTATAAGATCTATTAATAATATTATAATAATACAATTAATAAATATTTATTGAAAAGGCCTTAAAAACTTTGCTAAAGAATATTTATGAACGAGCACGTGGCATTGCCGATTACCTGTTTTTTCTGAGCCACCATTTTTACAATCAGCGGTTCTTCTTACAGCTGTAATAATATTCATAATTATTAATTTTATGTATATTTAAGTAATTACATATATACAAATACACATATATATACAAAACAATATATACATTTGGAATTCAACATACCTTCCACGAGGAACAACAACGAAAGAAAGAGAGAATGGAGAGAAGTAGAGAGCGAAGTGATAAAAGTGCTCGTGAACAATGTCGTCGAAAGGTTAGTAATTTTAGGCTGCATTTTCATGCTGACGCTCGATTCGAGCGGCAAAACAGGTCACGTGATCAAAAGTGATGCTTGGTATTCGTCAATTTTGACCACGTGACCTGTTTTGGCACTCGAATCGAGCGTCAGCATTAAAATGTAATCTAACACCCGTATTCATAATCAGGTCTTATATTTAAGGCTTTTTTAAATTTATCTTCAGATACTTTACGAATTATTTCATTGGCATTGAGCATCTCTTAAAGATAAATTTAACGAAGCCTTATAAGTATAAGGTCTGACTATGAATACGGGCATAAAACTTCTAATCTTTTGAAAATGCAGCCTTAAGGTGCCTTTTCATGCTGACCTCGACACTCATTTCCGGCGTCAAAATAAAGGTTTAAACACAATAGGCACATTCACATAACAGTGAATAACAAGCTCCAATTAGAGCTCTGTGTGTAAGTTCGATATTATATCCCAGAGCTCTGATTGGACAGCTTGTTGTTTTCTGTTTCCTGTGTCTATTGTCTGTGCCTATTGCGTTGAAGAATGAGATTGAAGATTGAAAGATTGAAGTTTGACCAATCAGAACAAAAGGAGTCAAAACTTCTGTGTCCTCATTAGTGAAATTTCAATCTTTAATCCCGATCTTTAATGCATAGTTTGATTCCGGCCTTTTTTGCACTTAAAATGAGATAGATATGTATTTTGCCTTGAGAAGAGAGAAAGCGAAGATGTCGAGTGTCAAAAGTGCAAGCAACGCGCACAGATTATGCGCAATGGTGTGTTCGGAGAAACACTATTAGCGCCTATTTCTATCATTCTATCTTCATTGTTTATTAAACATAAAACAAGGATAGAATGACACAAATAGGCACTAATAGCGTCTCTCCCGAATGCACCTCTTGTATTCTTACATCATGGTTCGAGCTATCGTTTCGTTTCACGTGCCATATCGCGAGAATCTTCTTATCAGAAAGTATATACATATACGCGTGTGTATGTGCATACACGATGTACATACACTGGTGTATATTTTCGGAAGACTATAGTAGACGTCCCCGACAGTTGGTTGTTCGTAGTCGTTCGTCGATCGTCGTT